CTCAAAATGAATTTTGTGCAGAAATAGTATTAGCAAGAAATTATTGATTCTGGCAACGTCTCCAGTGTTTATATATACACTGGAGACACACACACACACACACACACACACACACACACACACACACAATTATCATTGTTACAGCCACAAAGTTGACAGTGAAACATTCTTCTCCTATGAGGGTGCTGGTTTGAAGGGGAATGGTCCTGTCACATCATTTGCTTCAGGCAACAGGGTACTGTGTTGTTGTATGTGAAACTTACACATCTTTTTGGGTCAACGTATAAGGCAGTTAATTTTATTACAAAGCTTATAAAAAAATTCCAAACATTTTTCCCTCAGTAACCTGTGTTCAAACACTTCTAGAATTAAAGGAGGGATTTTCTGACTGGCCATAACATTAAAACCACTTGCTTAATATTGTGTAGATCCCCCTTCATGCCGCTACAACAGCTCTGACACCAGTGGTATCTGGAATTAAGACATTAACAACAGATCTTTTAAATAAGGTGTGGCCTCTATGGATCAGACTTGCTTGTCCAGGATATCCGACAGATGCTTGACCGGATTGAAATCTATGAAATGTGTAGGCAAAATCAACACCTTGATTTTTATGTCTAACGGAAACCTTACACGTCGACTGCACATTGCAAGCTACACTGCCTGGCCAAAAAAAAAGTTGCAAAGTTTAATATTTTGTTGGACCGCCTTTAACTTTGATTGTAGGGCACATTCGTTAATGCAATGTTTCCATGTGCTTATGCAGCATCAACATTTTTTTCATCCAGATTTGCATTAATTTCTCGCCAAGATCTTGTATTGATGATAGGTGAGATGAACCACTCTGTAAAGCTTTCTTCAGCACATCTCAAAGACTTTCAATGGGGTCAAAACTCTGTGCTGCCCAATTCACGTGTGAAAATGATTCCTTGCGCTCCCTAAACCACTCTAACAGTTCAAGCCCTATGAGTCTTGGCATTATCATCCAGGAATATGTCCAGGCCTTTAGGTAAGAAAAAATCAATTGATGGGATAATATGGCCATTCAGTAGATTCAGGTATTCAGCTGACTTCACCTTATCACTGCATAATGTTGCTAAGCTTTTTAGCAAGTGGGCAAATGTAGTGGGATTGCAAAACTACTGCGAGGAGAACGCAAAACTATTTAAAAAAATATTTTCCCACCCTGCCCTCTTAGGGGCTCCATGTATTCTACCTATGTCTTGATTATTATTGATTTCTACCCAAAAATCATGTTTTATCACAAGAATCTAATAATACTTTCAATAAGAAACGTGATCGGGCAGTGATAAATATTAAACATATTTAATGTCCAAATTGTTCGTGAGACAAAGCTAACATCAGTTAAGTAGTTTTAACAAAAGAAAGTTATGTTTATTGTTTTAAAACCCAGAGAAGACTTGAAACTTGTGGTTATAAAGCACATCTCATCCTGCTTTTGTGTAAGCCTCAATAGACCTAGGAGACTACATCTGCCCTCTGCTGGTCTGGAGGAATATCATTGCAGTACGTATACGCCGAACACAACCATCCGCATCCAAAGTTTGAACACAGGCTGCCACACAGACGACTGTCCCCAGACCAGAAGCGCACAAAATGTGGAAAATATAAAGTATGAACTAGGCTTTACCCAGAGCATCAAACTACCTCCACCAGCTTGCCTTCTTCTCATAGTGCATCCTGGTGCCATCTCTTCCCCAAGTAAATAACGCACATGTACCCAGCTATCCACATGGTGTAACAGAAACCGTGACTCATCAGACTAGGTCACCTTCTTCCATTGTTCCATGGTCCAGGTCCAACACTCACGTGCTCATTATAGGTGCTTTCGGTGGTGAACAGGGATCAGAATGGGCACTCTGACCGGTCTGCGGCTACGCAGCCTCATACGCAGCAAGCTTCTGACACCTGTTCTGACACCTTTCAATCATAGCCAGCATTAACTTTTTCAGCAATTTGTGCTACAGTAGCTCTCCTGTGAGACTGGACCAGATGGGCTAGTCTTTGCTCCCCACGTGCATCAGCCAGCCTTCGGTGCTCTGTTGCTGGTCCACCGGTTGGCCTTCCTTGGATCACTTTTATTAGGTACTGACCATTGTGTACCTGGATCACCCCACAAGACCTGCCATTTTGGAGATGCTCTGACCCAGTCGTCTAGCCATCACAATTTGGCCCTTGTCAAAATCACTCAAATCCATACCCATTTTCCTGCTTCCAACACATCAGCTTCAAGAACTGTCAGTTCTCTTGCCTAAAATATAACAGCATCCTTGACAAGTGCCATTAAATGAGATAATCAATGTTATTCCCTTCAACTGTTGCTGGTTTGAATGTAATGGCTGATTGGTGTAAATACTGTATGTGCAGTACGAATGAGCTGACCCAGAAACATTATGCCATCACAGAAAGACCCTAAAACTGACTGCCAGCTTTCCACTTAAGTTGTGTTTTCACAAAGCAGCTACAAATGAGTAAGTTGCTTTAGTATGGACATAGTTTTCATCTGACAGCGTACCCTGGTCCAGTGTTCTTGTCCAAAAATGGCTGACAGCATATACCAAGGTAAACAGGCCCAGAGGTATACACAGTACATGCACAGTGACAAACACACTGGGGCTGGACAGCTATGGAGTACACAAGAATAAAGATAAAGATGAGCATCCAGGCCTTAACCCAAGCCTTCTTAACTGGTGCACAGTAATATGTTTGTCCATCAGAATTAAAGGTGATACATGGCTGTTATACTATCCAAAACAGTGAGAGTGCCCATGCTAACCCCTGTTCACTGTTGAAAGCACCTGCAAAGGGAAAACAAGCGTTGGAACTGGACCTTGGATAATGACAGAGGGTCATATGGTGTGATTATTCCCATTTTCAGTTGCATGTGGATGGCCAATTACACATTGTGTATCTGGGATTTAAGTTAGCCCATTGCACTGGTACATAGCCCCATACACAACAGGGCTCAATGCACATTACACCCATAACCATTTTTAAAATTATGTGCAATTTGTGACACAGTTGCCCTTCTGTTGGTTCGCAACAGACAAGATAGTCTTTCTTCAAATCTCACATCAATGAGTCATGGCTGCCTAACACCTTACTGGCATATCTTTCCCTCTTTGGGGCATCGTCTATAGGTACAAACCACAGCTAACCGTAAACACCTGTCAAGCCTTGCTGATTCAGAGCTGCTCTGATCCAGTTTGGCTGTAATGATCTGGCCCTTACCAAAGTCACTCGGATATTTATCCCTTTGGTTAGCTGCAAAGCATGAGCGAAGGATCATATCTGTTACCAAATGTTAGCTTACCATCTATGTGTCGTCTTCACAAGATAGAAGTTATTCACTTCATGTGGGGGGAGAGGGGAGTCATAATGTTTTAGCTCATCTGTGTAATGGCAACATAAATCCCTACAAAAACTGAAGAAAAAACACACTCAGTCTCACAAAAACGTACACCAAAGAATAAAATGAATGGCAATAATTACACACTACATACAGCGTAACACAATAAGACGCAGATTCTTGGCTAAATGCATGCCTTTCCTCTTGAATATTCAATGAGTATACACATTGCTCATTCATTCATTTGAATTCTGAGCTCACATTTGCTGCAGTACAAAGCTGGAGTGAAATTGTGAATCACGTGACTCTTTAGTCTACTTTTCTGTACTCGCACTCCAAATGCCAGTATTTTGTACTTAATCTGGTCCTGTATCTTTAACCATTGTGCGGAAGGTGCAATTGGTTGTAGCTAAACATTGACCTGTGCTGCCTCACAGCCTATGAAGTTCAAGAATGGCAAAGCTGTTAGGTCTTATAATGCTGAGTTGGACTCCTTGGGAGTCGACCCCACCAAAAACAGCTCTCCTGTTATAACAACCTTCTCTAATGTGGCTGCGACTGCAGTTTCCGTTTCATTTGTGTCTCACATCAAGCAGCTTCCTGAAATACATCTCAACTTTCTCTACAGCTTGGTCACACAGTCAGAATGTGAACGATACAAACACAAAAGTTATATTGGTTTAGATTTTAGACATTTTGTGTTTCCAACTGCTGCCAATCACATTGTATACTTTGATTCTTATCTTTGCATTTCTTCCCCATACAATAACACAGGACTCTGCACATACAAGCATATCATTGGATTTCTACAATCTCCTGTTACAGATGAACCCCAGGGTAATCAATGACTTTCTCCATCCTGCTGTATCAGGAGCACAGTTAGTCTGGTAGGGCAACAGGTAGCTCAGTGATTAAAAGCCAGAACCAGCATCCAACTGGTTTCTGGTTAAAATCCAGTCCTGACAACCTTCAATAAAAGCCTTGAAAACAACATACAAACAATAATCCATTCATCCATCTTCCAAACACTTCTTCTGGTGAGGGTTACAGTGAGTCCTGGAGCCTATCCTAGCCAGCACTGAGCGCAAGATGGGGGTATACCCTGAGATGCTACTCCATCACAGGACACATGCGCACACACACTGCAAGCATCTAAGCGATTAGCAGTTATTGTTATTATAATAAGTTATTTTACAAACAATGATGTTCAGAACAAACAAACTGAAATGAATGGGTGGAGTAAGGCTAAGTTTGGCTATTTCAAGTCCAATTTTAGCTTTTAAAGAAGGGCACTCCTTCACAAGAATGAAACCTAATTTCTATTAAAACTATCATGTTTCCAAGAACTTTAGTCAATAGAATCTGTTCAGCAGATTGTCAGAGACTGTGCCACTTGCAGTTGAGGCTGCACTGTTGCTGACGCGAGCTGCAAATTCAGCTGTATTGCTGATCATGGGGGCTGCCTTCTGAACTGTGCCTTCGGGGAAGACATGTAATTGAAAAGTTTCATCGCAGCTACATCACTGTATGTGGCACAGCATAATAGCATCTAGAAAAATGACATCTCCAACTAATTTAACTACAACAAAAAAGAAGTCAAAGTGGTTTCTATAATACCCAAATGACTCACCTTTATATAAATGTGACAAAAAAGCTACATTTCCTGTTGCTGACAGAGTGCTGTATGACTGCTGTCTCAAACATTCAAATTCAGAAGCTCCAAGGATAGTTATGGAGATCTTGCCTTATAGTTGCATGTTAACTAAATGACATATTACTAAAGCAAAAGTATTTCAAAAACCAAATAACTGACAATAATAAGATTCATGTTTTGATCAGAATTTAAAATCACAACTAAAACCTGCATGTTAAAATGAGACAGACATTTCACAGTCTATTTCATATATTTTTTTACTTTTAAAATCACTTCATGAGCCTACGTCTACAGTTACAAAAACAATGGACGTCAGACATCACTCTCGCTCTTTCACACATACAAACACAAAGAAACGAAAATCGTAACTGAAATGTATATCTGGCGTTCTTTACCGAGTCCCATCACTGGCTGCCTTGTATCCGCACTACAATGTTTTCAAGTGGCGCGTCACTCTCCGGCAAACGCAGGCCGCTAAGCATTCAGCAGTGTGGCCACCGTTACCTCCTGATAACACACATCTGTCGATCCAGGAAAATTGTGATTTATCACGGTTTCTTTTTAATATTTCCAACACAGGACTTCCGAATCCGTGCCACTCATTACATATCCGTCCTTGTTCAAATACGCATCCGCAAAGTTGAACTACATATATAAATACATCGCTTCCCTTGTTTTTAATGAGGTTACAGGCGTGATGCTTCGCTCGCGCTCTGCAGCTAACCGAAGGTGTCACGCAGTAGTAACGTATTACGGTTCAGCCCTGACACAGGGAAGCTGGAAGACACACGACGGGTTTAAAAACGCTGGAAGCGGCGCCAAACGCCGAAATGGGAGTGCACAAAAACACGACCTGCAGCGACAGCTGTCTACATATACCACATAAACAAAAAATCCCGACAAAATGTCTTATTTTGACAGAACAGCGGCGGTCTATATTAAATACAAATTCCACAGCACGTATTTGTCAAAACGGTGCCACCAAGCAGATCATTTTCTAGCAGTCTTTTGGTTCTTACTAATTTAACCAGTTAAATAATCCTGGATATGTCTAATCTTCGTATTTTCAGGTGTACATAATGCAGTTAGTGGCACATACGTCCCAGATTCGATTTTATTCATTTGATATAAAATAATCTAGCGTCGCAGCCATGAAAACGACGTCGGGGTTACCATTACTTACCTATGTTCAGTATGTCTGTCTACAGTCTTTTCTGGTTTATTTAAAGCGACAATGGCAATCCTACTGGCTAGATGGGTAATTAGCCATAGCTGTATTTTCTTCGTGTTCTGTCGTCTCCGTACAACACTGCTGATCGGTACTATCTACATTTAACTGTTTAAATACCTCCCAAATATAAAAATAGACGCTTTGTATAAACACCATTCATCGTTGTCTTTCTTATTTGTGTTCGGCTTTGCGATGAACCCCCTTCCCTTTTCAAACGTCGATCCTCAGTAGAAAAAAAAAGCCGAGTCCTCGCGCACCTGCTCTTTGTAAAATTACAGCTTAACGCTCTGTGGGTTTTAAAATGTATAAAACGCGTCGGATGTTACACGTACAGGCGTTTATTCAGGTGGAAGGATTCGGTCATACGATGTCTCGTAGCTAGCCGTAGTTGCCAAATCAACTAGCAACAGCCTGCGATGTTAGACGGTCCTCGTTTCTCTCTCTCTCACACACACACACTCTCTCTCTCTTTCTGACAGTCATGTACAGACAGACGTCCTCGGCTCGAGTCGTCCTTGCTCACAACGCCGACAAGCGGGCTCTCTCTGCTCCTTCGCTCGTTCCCGACATACGTTCTGCCGACAGACTGCTCTCCCGGCTGCAGCACGCCCTTGTGCTCGCTCCCGCCACCGACAGCCGATTCCCGTGGTCGCACAAGCGCCTGTTCCAACTACGTCATTGATGTCCATATTGTGTATGACGCTGACGTTAGTGAAAATACTTAACCGATAAGCACTTTTTTAATGCATAGCACGTGTAACTTGCTTTAGCTTCGGGATACTGTGTGAACAAAGTCAAAACGAATGATGAATTATTTTCAAGTTTAGTGCAGATCTAAAGGCAGCACGCTGGTTCATTGTTCATTGTTGCCTTAGGGATCCATGGTTAGTACTCGTAGTTTCTCCCTTGTTGCCTGAGTTTCCTACAGATATCCGTATTGCCTCCCACAATCCAAACACTTGAACTTAGGGCTAAACCAAGTCTCTGAATTTCCCATGGAACATGACTGAATTTGTGCTCATGCCCTGCTATGGGCTGGCAGGTCACCCAGGAGAGGCTCCAGTCAGGGGTGTGACTAGAATTTATGCCCCCCTGACAGAATGTCACCTTGCCGCCCATTATATAATTTAAAAATGTTATATATTCAAGGGGCCTTGTAATGTGCTGGGCCCCCTGAATCTACCTGGGTATCCATGCCGACCTGCACCTCTGGCTCCAACAACCCTGACCTGAGTAGGCTGTTGAAGATACATTGATGTGCCACATGTGCTAGTTTGAAATCCCATAAAAAGCTATTCAGCACTAAATTTGCCTAAATTAAAGTTCTCCATTTTTGTCATATAAGTTAGCCTTGAATACTGATGCCTGATGTATTTTCATTATGATTTCACAAATGTGTTTCTAGAAAAGGGGAGAGACTGGAGCAAGACTTTTCCACTTCAAAGTCATGCTCAATCAGCATGGTCTATATCTGTAGCAGAAACTAGATTGTTGATCTCAGTACTCAGACATACTGCTTGTTACAACTGGAAGCAGGAATGGAGTGACGATCCACAATATGGTGTTATGGCTTCACACAAAGGGGACTAGACACAGACATCAACCTCTACATCAACCCACAAGGAACAAGGCAAGGGCAGGCATATATATGCCCAGATAACAAAGACTAGACAAGGGACTGGTGTGAAACATTGATAACAAGCCAAACACTAGCGATCACATTTAATGAGCCACAAACTAAAAACAGATGTGAGACAGAAACAATAATCTGGGAACCTTAAGGACCAGGCGGAATAGCCAGTGACATCTGCTGGCCAAATGGGAACATGACAGGACCAGTAGGGACAGATCCTGACACAGCATTATGACAAGAGTCTATATTATTCTTAGCATGAGTAATGTATTTTATACAAATGTTCTTAGAATAAAATATATAGATGATATACATGGCATTTTCATAATTTATTTATTTTTACATACACTACCATTTAAAATTTTGGGGTCAAATGAAATTTCTTTGTTTTCCATGAAAACATACATGAAATGAGTTTGAATAGGAAATACAGCTAAATAAATAGGAAATGATCATTGACAAAGTTAGAAATAATATTTTTTTAAATTAAACTAATAACTGTGTTCTTCAAACTTTGCTTATGTCAAAGAGTCTTCCATTTGCAGCAATTTACAGTCTTGTAAACCTTGGGCATTCTAGATGTCAGTTTGTTGGGGCAATCTGATGAGATTTCACCCCATGGTTCCTGAAACGTCTCCCGCAAGTTGGATTGGCTTGATGGGCACTTCTTACGTACCATTCGGTCAAGCTGCTCCCATAACAGCTCTGGTGACTGTGCTGGTCACTCCATTATACACAGAACACCAGCTGGCTGCTTCTTCCCTAAATAGTTCTTGCATAGTTTGGGGCTGTGTTTGGGTCATTGTCCTGTTGTAGGACAAAATCGGCTAGAAATTACACGCCGTCCACAGGGTATGGCATAGCATTGCAGAACGGAGTGACAGCCTTCCTTCTTCAATCCCTTTGACCGTGTACAAATCTCCCACTTTACCATCACCAAAGCAGCCCCACACCATCACATTACCCCCACCATCAGGGGCGGATTAACGCACAGGCTAGATATGGCTTAAGCCTAGGGGCCCCACGTGTTCCAGCCTGCAAGGGGGCCCCCATTGGCGCGGAGGGGGGCGGGGTTGGGGGGCCCACAGACTACTGTAGCCTAGGGGCCTCTGTACACCTTAATCCACCCCTGCCCACCATGCTGGATCGATGTCGTCACACACTCCTCCAGTGTCTTTTCATTTTATCTGCATCTCACAAATGACTGGAACACCTCAAACTTAGATTCATCTATCCATAGCATTTTTTCCAGTCTTCCTCTGTCCAGTGTCTGTGTTCATTTGCCCATCTTAGTCTTTTCTTTTTATTGGCCATTCTGAGATTCAGTTTTTTTTTTGCAATTCTGCCTAGAAGGACAGCACTCCAGAGTTGCCTCTTCACTGTTTACGTTGAGACTGGTCTTTTGCAGGTACTATTTAATGAAGCTGCCAGTTGAAGATCTATGAGGTGTCTGTTTCTCAAACTGCACTCTCTAATATATCTATCCTCTCCCTCAGTGTTGCACCAGGGCCTCCCCCTCCTCTTTCTGTTGTGGATAAAGTCACAGCACTGCATGGGATCTTTAGTTTCCTGGCAATTTCTAGCATAGAATAGCCTTCATTTCTCTCTTTCAGGAGAAAGTTCTTTGTTTCTGACCATTTTGAGCTTGTAATCGAACCCACAATTGCTGATGCTTCAGATACTCAACTAGCCCAATGAAGGCCAGTTTTATTGCTTCTTTAATCAGCACAACGATTTTCATCTGTGCTAACATAATTGCAAAACGGTTTAACCTTTTAAAATAATAAACTTGCATTACAACAAACACAGCATTCCACTGGAACACAGGACTAATTGTTTCTGATATTGGGCCTCTGTGCACCTATGTAGATATTCCATTTAAAAAACAACTGTTTCCAGCTATGATAGTCATTTACAACATTAAAAATGTCTACACAGTACAGTCATGGCCAAAAGTTTTGAGAATGACACAAGCATTGGTTTTCACTAAGTTTGCTGCTTCAATGTTTGTAGATCTTTTTGTCAGATGTTTCTATGGTATACTGAAATATAATTACAGGCATTTCATAACTGTCAGAGGCTTTTATTAACAATTACATTAAGTTTATGCAAAGAGTCAATATTTGCAGTGTTGACCCTTCTTTTTCAAGACCTCTGCCATTCTCCCTGACATTATGTCAACCAACTTCTGGGCCAAATCCTGACTGATAGCAGCCCATTCTTGCATAATCAATTCTTGGAGTTTGTCAGAATTTGTGGGGTTTTGTTTGTCCACCTGCATCTTGAGGATTGACTACAAGTTCTCAATGGATTAAGGTCTGAAGAGTTTCCTGGCCATGGACCCAAAATGTCACTGTTTTGTTCCCCGAGCTCCATCATGCTGGAAAAGGCATTGTTCATTACCAAGCTGTTCTTGGATGGTTGAGAGAAGTTGCTCTGAGTATGTTTTGGTACCATTCTTTATTCATGGCTGTGTTCTTTGGCAAAACTGTGAATGAGCCCACTCCCTTGGCTGAGAAACAACCCCACACATGAATGGTCTCAGGATGCTTTACTGGCATGACACAGGACTGATGGTAGCGCTTAGCTGTACTTCTCCAGACAATATTTTTTTCAGAAGCTCCAAACAAACAAACAGACAAACAATCAGAAAGGGGATTCATCAGAGAAAATGACTTTACCCCAGTCCTCAGCAGTCCAATCCCTGTACCTTTTGCAGATCATCAGTCTGTCCCTGATGTTTTTCTTGGAGAGAATTGGCTTCTTTGCTGCCCATCTTGACACCAGGCCATCCTCCAAAAGTCTGTGCCTCACTGTGCATGCAGATGCACTCACACCTGCCTGCTGCCATTCCTGAGCAAGCTCTGCACTGGTGGTGCCCTGATCCTGCAGCTGAATCAACTTTAGGAGACAGTCCTGGTGCTTGCTGCACTTGCTTGGGTGCCCTGAAGGCTTTTTCACAACAATTGAACCTCTCTTCTTGAAGTTCTTGATGATCCAATAAATGGTTGATTTAGGTGCAATCTTACTAGCAGCAATATCCTTACCTGTGAAGCACTATCTGTGCAAAGCAATGATGACTGCATGCATTTCCTTGCAGGTAACCATGGTTAACAGAGGAAGAACAATTATTTCAAGCACCACCCTCCTTTGAAAGCATCCAGTCTGCTATTCTAACTCAATCAGCATGACAGTGTGATCTCCAGCCTTTTCCTCATCAACACTCTCACCTGTGTTAACGAGAGAATCACTGAAATGATGTCAGCAGGTCCTTTTGTGGCAGGGCTGAAATGCAGTGGAAACATTTTTTTTGGGATTAAGTTCATTTTCATGGCAAAGAGGGATTCTGCAATTTATTGCATTTCTCGGCTAACCTAAGCCCTAACCCCTACTTAGCCCTAAGCTTAACCATAAGTAACCGAAAAATATACAAGAATTTTTGCACTAAAAATGCTTCTAGAACGAGTGGTTTGATTGACACGCTCGTGAGGTGACGGACAGTAGGCCGGGTTGGATGTGTGTTAGGTTGGATCTCGGACAGACAGGGCTGGACAGTTCCTGTACTGTTCCGCACCACGTTAGAAGTGCAGCTGCTGAGGTGAACAAACTGAGGTCTACAGGTGAGATAGTCAGTCAGGCAGGCGATCACGGCTCCGCCCACTTATAGCCTACTGAGTTTCCCAGCTAATAGCTGTGACTGAGTAGGGTTGAATGCACTTGAAACATCTCACATTTTCATTATGTTCCCTGAGTTGTCCAGATGTGAGTGGGCTCTGTACAGCAAGTGAATGATGGCATCATGAACTCCAATATGGGTCTGATACACAAACTGAAGGAGATTGAGGAACTGCTTCACCTCTGGTGATAGACACTGAAGCACTAGCCTCTGAAAGGTCTTCATTATGTGTAATGTGAGTGCCACCGGTCTGTCATCACTCAGGGCATGGTTTGGGCACTGGAATGATGCAGGTTTTCCAGAGGGAGGGGACTTTGTTTAACAGGTTAAACATCAGCTCTCTGCTTGTTCTCCAGTCCATTGGTGCTTGGCGCCTTGCACCATCCTGTGATCTTCTCCATGGCATGCCCCACCTCCTGTACTATGCAGTCCTTCAGCTTTTCTTCAGTCTTCCTTTTACTCCCTTTTGTCCTCCCTGATCTCATGTTCAAGTTCCTTCTGCATTCTCTTTACCTCGCCTCTTTCCCTTTGCTGGAAAGCTTTCTTTTCCTTGATTAGCAGCATTCCACTGTCTTTTGGCATACAGAGTTTTATATAAAACTTATATAGATTATATAAAACACAACAGAGATCAAAAACTTTGCATTATATTTCAAAAAATGCCTACAAATATTTGATATTTTCATCATATTTTCAGCCGTGTGTTCAGCTTCAATTATATGACTACAACTCAGTACTGTTGATAAAAAATGTTTATATCCAATTTTACAACAAAAGTGCAATGAAACTGAAAGAAGCCTCGGGGTTTAAGAATCTACTGCAAATTACTAAAATGTGGTGAGAAACTGCCATTGGATCCCAAACTGGCTGACAACAACTGGTTGTCTGTAGTTGTAACGTATATGAGAACAGTGGGCCCCCGTAATTTAACAGAAAAATCCAGAAATAATTAATAAATTTGAAATTGCGTACAGCTGAGTAGCTAGATGAAATCTGCGGTCATCCCGCCTGGGATGTGAATGATCCCTCTGTCCAGTGTATCCATGTCCAGTGTATCCATGATGTAATTGCCAGGCGCCTGTTAGTCACTTAGAAGCCATCTGAGTTATCAGATCTAATCTCACAGTATCGCAGTGCAAGTAACCATATTTATGAAAAATTAAACAGTACTGTATATTGTTATAATTGCTCTATTTTATTAGTCGTTGTTGATAATCTCTGATGTCTAATTTATAAATTAAGTTTCATCATCGGTATGTATGTATAGGAAAAGCATATATACTACTAAATAATATATGTTTGATACTATCCTTGGTTTCAGTGATCACTAGGGGGTCTAAAGTATTATTTCATGCCCAACAAGTATGAAAGAGGGAGCGAATGCAGCTTAAACAGCTCATATATCCATCCAGTTCATATTCCACATTGAAGTACTAAGAAAAGCTGCATGCAATTTATCTTTGTCAATATAATCCGCATTAAAAAATTGGTTTCTTATGGTTACACCTTTACATCAAACAGATCTAACCTTATCTGTTCTCAACTCAAAATTTCAATAAAATACAATAACAAACCCTTGTAGATGTAGACTGAGCTTAATCCTGGACATCATTCCACTGTATTGCAGTTTCATCTATATTCTGAACAATCATTGTAGGAAATACAAATAAAGACTGATAATAGTGCCTGCAATGCAGCACTGCTATTTGCACAAATGTTCACATTTGAAGACATAACACATACGAGACAGAGGGCAAATTGCAATGCCTTTGGAGACAGATAATAAAAGTAACAATCATATTTATTTAAGAAAACATTTAAACAGTCTCTATTAACAAATGTATCCATTCAGCTTTCCAGGCTGGGTCACAGCCTAGATACAGTACCAGAGTCATTAGGAAATATCTCTACAGTTTATCCATAGTATTTTTGTTTGTTTGTTTTTTTTGAAAAAATGCAAAATCTAAATCTGGCCATTATGATATTGAGAAGAATGAATCCAGGGCAAAATGCTACCCTCCGATTTATCTTGAAAAATCACATATTGTAACAGTATCTCACTGAAAATGAAATAAAAAGCATCAGCATTGATTTAATATATTAAGTATCAGTTTATCTGTGCACTTCTGTTCGGTGTATGCACCAAAAGGTTGATCTAAAATGTGTAATCTACAGTATGGATGTTTAAAAGAGGAATGTGTAATTTCGGCAGCTTTTCCTAGAATTGAATAATGTTCATTTGCTCTGTGAAGTAATGTACAGAACATATGTTATTGTTGGTATCAAAGACACTTGGATCTGTCTGGAAATTACTCCAACTCACATTACTAATTTGAGCATTTTTACAAAAACATGCAGTACAAAGTTATCTTCCACAAAGTAAAGGCTGCAAAATTTAACATTTTGTATCAGTGAAATACAACAAACACACACTTGCTTGGTCTAACTAGACAGCAATATTTAAGATTCTAAAAATAATAACAAAAGTATCCTATATAATAACCAAACTGCAACATTTGCCCAGATGTTTTAATATACCCAATATATAGTCATCGATGCAGGTTACAATACATGACTTAAGATAAAAACAATGGAGGTGTATGTTGAAACTGGATTCTCTACATTGATATGAAACAAGGCTCCCTGAGTCTAGCTCTCTTGAGAAACTCTTAAAGGGACACAGCCATCCATTTCCAGGGATTCAGGCCATCCTTCATACTTGTTGGTGCTTTTGCTGTTCTTCATCCGCTGAGAAAGAGAAAGGAGATGTTAGGAACACAGAGTTAAAGACGGGCATTCAGTAATGCATAGTAGTAAATTCAAATTGCTTGTGATTTCCTAAAAAATAATTTGTCTATGTCAAATACCACAATATCTAAGCTCACAGCAGTGACTCTCTATTCCAACAGGTCCCCTACAGTGAACAAGAGGCCAGAGCAATGCTTCAGCAATAGCAATTTAACAAAAAAAGAACCTTGGGAAACAGGGCTAGCACATGCATAGCTGGGCGCTCACGCATCAGGGATGGTTACCTGCTCAAAGGGGCTCTTGTTCTCGATGCCCTTGGCTCCCACAAATACCCAGCTGTCTCTAAAGCCCAGCTCCTTAGCAGCAGTACTCCCAAGCTCCTCAAGGAGTCGACGGGCTTCATCGTTCAGCCTGGAGAAAGCGGAGCAAGGAAGGGGGATCACACGGTTGTTGGGGACCGGCTTTCAAGTCCCATTTCAGCTTTATCACACAAGGAGATAACAGCGCACCATTCATTAAAAACTTAACCAAATGCAACAATTTCCTGGTCAAATGCAAACTTATAATTGTATACAATGAAAACTTGAACTTAAATTAAAGTAAGTTATTTCACTGAGATCCCATGTTACGCACAATAATGGTAGGAGGAACACAGCAAATCAAAATTATGTGAAAATTCAACATATACACAGAAGATGGACAATAATTTTGTGCATTTTAAAACAACAAAAAAGTATTTTTCTGCCAAAGAAAATATATTCAGTTATTGTGGCCATCAGTGTCTGCAACACCTTCCCCATTACTGTCTCTTGCATTCCAAGTTCTATGTGTTGACAACCACAGGATTCTTATATTCTTTGTATTTTCATAACCTACTAACGAAACACATTGAGATTCACTGAACTCAGATTACAGGTAGAAATCACAGCAGGAATGAGCAAGTGAGGAGGGCAGTTTGAGGAGAGACTTACTTGGAAGCAGGGTCATCAAAGGAAGCAACAAACACCAGGGTTCCCTCGTGGAGCGGCCGCAGGAACTTCAGCAGATCAGCTATATCTGAGGGGAAGACCAAACAACACTCAGCACCAGCAAGATGCACTAATATGTGGGATGTTCATACATTGGATGGAAGTCACAGCCTAAATGGACACAACCACGATCCATAAGTTTGAATTGATCTGAAAAAATAGCTGGGAATGCAAAACAAATTCTCAGGCCCATTTACATGGCAAATGCTGACATTTCGGGAAAAAGAAACAAATCCATTTGTTTATTCATTCATTCATTCGTTTGCTTGTGTGATTGACTGATTGTTTGCCACCTGAGGTTGGATTTGTTTGTTTATAGAAGCTGGTGATTATTTAGGCCCTGATAGATAAAAAAAAATGGAGAGTGTGATTTCTCTGTCCCATGACTGTAGCTCACAATTTTTGCCTGAGAATAAGAGGGACCCCGCATGTGCTTCTGTCCTTGCACAGAGCACTTCTGTCATCACTGCAGCTTTTGAAAGTTGGGGGCTATCTGCTTTGCAAACACGGCAGAAAGTAGCAGTGTGGTGTATTGTTCAGTGAGTTATATTGTGCCAGTGATAAGAAGACCACTGGTTCAAACCCTAAAATCACATTAATTGCACTGCAGGTCCCCTTAACCCCAATTACTGCAGGGACTGGTTGACCCTGCTTTCTCAATTGTACACTGGTTTTGATATACATGCATCTGCCAAATATATAAATGCAGTGCTCATCCTGTATAGGGAAAAACTAATCTCACAAAAGTGCAGGACTCACTAAGGACCATATGCAGTCACAGTAAAATACACTGCAACTTTTTGTCCCCACTCACCTCCAGCCCACATGTCAAATGATTTGACTTCCAATAACTCCCCTGTCACACCTTAAAAACAATAAGATTAGTTAAAAAAATAATAATAAACATAATTCATATATTAAAATATGAGCTATACTGAAATACACAACATGTGAAAAACATAAACCTTGCACAGGAAATAATATTCCAACTATCAGGCAGGTACTATGAAGACTACACAAAAACTGGTTACCATTGACAAGAGCAATGTTCAGTCCTCGGCCGACATTGTTCTTCACGCTGCTTACGAGTCTGAAGAGGACAGATCATCGCTCATTGGTGTTGCAAATTTAAACATTTCATTCTGATTGACATTTCTTCAGAAACATTTGTATTCAGAGGGAATACAAAAGATAGTGAGACTAATCAGAATAGAGGCAAGCTCTCACATCTTATCCTCAAGGCAGATCTTGGGACCGATGACATTTGCTGCCCCAGATGTCAGGCGGAAAGCAAGGTGCTTTGCTGGACAGGGTGCCGAAAGGCCACATTTATACTTACGTGGCTTTGGCGCTGGGGGGGGGAAGCATTTGAAAAAATTACAGCAATAAAAAAAAGCTAATATTGTTTAAGAGCAAACACTTATGGTTTAAAACTGTCCTGGCTGTGCTGGACAGGAGCTTACGCACCTACAGTTGTCACCTCATGAGATCCTGCAGTTGGAAAAAGGAATGAGATCTCTGGTCACCACACTAATTGCTGAAAGTTCCGCTGAATCGATACAGCAACATGGACGGTACACAAGCAAACACACAGAGCATAAACCTCACCGTGAAAGAGATGTCGCACAACCACAAGGCTGTTTTCCCCTCCAAGAAGCATGTGGGCCAAGAGCCATGTGAGACCTACAAGGCATACGACTACTACTACCCGCAGAGGACCTACGGCAGAAACAGGCTCATCAGCAGACCAAGCTACATGCACACATTATTTTATGTATTTATTTTAAACTAAATGCTAACAAAATTATACCATGGAAATATGGCTATCTGAATCTGCACATATCTGACACAGGAAGTTTTACTCCATGTGATCCACATTCATGATAGTCAACCTTTCAGGATTTCAAATAATATGATAAAAATAAAATTATATACAGACGCTCCTCTACTTACGAACTTTCAACCTAAGAACCTTCAGACATACGAACGAAGAGGACTGCAAGTCCAAATTATGTTCACTGGGCTCCCGTTTCCTTTCCGCAACATCAATTGTTTTTTCTGTGCGCCGATTCTGTCTAGTACGACATCTGGCCGCTACTCCTGCCGCGCAGCAGCGTAGCGTATGTACTCCCAGCATCCTAGTTCTTTGTACTTGCGTATACCATTAAAATGATTTTGAATAACGACTTACGAACATTTCAAATTACGAACGGCCGTTCGGAACGTATCTCATTCGTAAGTAGAGGAGCGTCTGTAATAGGCTTATCCCAGTATCCCATTACAGATTTTAATTAAAAAGGAATATAAATCACTTCAGTTGTGCTTTGTATGGCTTTTATTTAATGTTGACCCACCTGCCAGCCTCATGATGAACAAATTTCAGTATTGACACACAGAAGTGTGGAAGGGTCCTGCAAAAAGACGACATACCAAAACTGTCACCCCTACAGGACATTCAGCTTTGAGCTTAGGAGCAAAAATAAGTCTCTTCTTCCTGCATGCAAATTTGAATTCTCAGTCTGCATACAGTCGCACATAATTACATTTACGAGATTAATGAATACCAATGACAGAAAGTACAAGCAATCATTGTAGAAAACATTTACATTTTGCTCACGTATCAGCAGGGACTAAAAACAGACGGACCAAAATCAGTATCAACTGAAAAGCAAATTCATGCCAAAAAAATAACAGCATAACAATGCCTACCGGCAGGCTTCTGTACCTACAGGTGTTCACCTACTTGAGTATTTACATACTTAACTGAACCAATAATTATCCCTGTTCTAACAGCTCAGTGAGGCTCACAAAGTCCCCACAGCATATCCCAGGAAACACAGGGCACAAGGCCATCGCATGCCAGGCCAATTCACTCTATGGACTGAGGGAGCAGCACATACAATCTCCACACACACAGAGTGAGGAACACCAGTTTGAAACCGGACAGTTGCAGGTTCGAGTCCCAGAATGAGGTCCCATGTTGTTTCAGATAGTTGCTTATTCTAATTTACTTTTTAAACTTCTTGCATTGTTTACTGCTTTAGATAAGTTCTTTCTCTAAACAACAGCCTAATATATAAAAACCATAGATGAAAATATTCTGTAAATTGGGGAGCCTGTGACGAGAGCACAGCAGAAATGCGGCTTGACGAGTTTGAGTAATCAGAACCAACAAGAAATGTAGGCTTACTATATGCTATGGCCCATCAAACTATATCATAATATCCAGGAAAGGAAAATGGATGGTTACATGTACTATTCGGAGTCAGAGTTGTTTATTAAATTAAAAAAAAAAAACTTGTAAAACAATTTGTATTACTGCCTAATAATCCTTAGTTACTTACAGCTGTCAGAAGCTTAGCAGACATCAATTTTAGAAAAGGTTCCCATCCAGGGTCCAAGGAGTAACAGTATCTGAATGAATTTCTAAAGATGCAACTAGGCAGCTGAACAAGAAAAGACACAATTAAAAAGTACACAAAGATCCACCTAAAACATTCAGAGAGCACAGGTGAAGATGCAGTAGCCATACTGATAGTCTTGTGCTGTCTGATGTACATATTGTAAATTCCTCATTTAAAAGACATCAAAAACGTAACTAGCAATGGACCATATGTCCTATCTGAATTTTGTAATTTTGTTTCTGCAGTAAATTACATATCTAACAAAACGTTAAACCCAGGCAGTAAAGAGATTGTACCTATGAAACACATTGTTGGAATTTAAACTAAACTTCATATCCTATATGGTCAACACTCAATAACCTGACGGACAGATCGTAATTTTTACCGTGTACTATAGCCAATATGAAATATAACAAACCGATTTAGCCTTGGCAAGTACCGGTGTACGTGTCTCTGCTGCATCTTATGTCAGCGTGGGGAAAAACCAACACCACGGAGATTTAGACAACGCCCATTCGCAAAATATTAAGCAGAAAGTTGTTACAATAGGTAAGGTGCGTATTATGGATAATGTATCAACATCTAACAAATAGAAAACATGAACAGTGAGGTGATATAGTCAGCTATGACAATGTTGCAATAACTACATTTATCTACTTTCGGGATCCAGTTTATTACTCACCTTTACTTTGTCCTTAGAATTTGTATCACGTTTTCTGAAAAAGAATAAAATAAAACGACGCGCATTAAGAAGGCATGTAATCCAGGAAGTGTATGGTTTACACAGTAGCTACTTCCTGGTCAAAACTGCGAGTCTTACTGAGAAGGCGAAGCACGCCAGGAGCAATAGGACTGAGGACCTACGCAAATGTGCTGTGTTATACGCAAAGTATGTACACAGATATCGGAAGTGGCTCTAAAATTAAAATACTATTTTCTACACTAACCAATATTACACAACTCTGCCCCCGAGTACCTGCTCTCCCCTCGGCCGGCTGGGTCTACCTCATCCCTAAACAGGATCTTGGAGAGTCACGTGACCGCAGACGATTATAATTACACTTAAGGAACTCATTTCCCCCCCAATATAATATAACCTTCATCAATTACTTCTATATCATCTAATCTATATAAGATAAAATATATATATTTTAGGTATAGATATATCTTGAAGAAATCAGACTGTGTCTCACATAGTTTTGTTCATATCTACTTTTAATCAAAGCATTTGTGAATATTTTATAGTGCGCATTGAGTTATGTCTATAAGCGCGTTATCTTTGGTTTTGGAATCAGAGTAATCAATCTTTGTTTCAACGTAGTAAGTAATGTAATTGTAGTTATGTAATTAATGCATTTTCAAAGCTTTAAACAATAACACCCTAATATCACACCAAAAAAAGAGTCCTCTGGCATGCCTGGAATGAAGGCCCTCTTGTGCCTGCTTCACTCTCTCCTGATCTCTCCCACACCAGACTGAACTAACCTGCATGACCTGCTTCTTATAATCCATCACACCAGATAGTAGGGTTGCCAACCATCCCGATTGTCCGGGACATCCTGAAATATGGGTGATTTTGATTCGTCCCTTCACCGAAGATGCATTTTTCAAATTTATTGGTTTCATTCTTGTTATGCGAAAATACAAAATATTTTTAAAAATAAGAGGATGCAGTGTCACTGAAGTCACTTATTCAGGGTGTACTGACTGTCAGAGACGATCCTAGGGTCTGTTGGGGCCCCAAGCAAAAATTCACTGGGCCCCCCCCCTCTAACCAGTTTTTGTCATCATTTTAATAAATAATCTGACATTAACAAAAAATTGTGAACAGTAAACTTTTTTTTATTTCACAAGTTACCATTTTCAACAAGTTAATGGACTTTAAAATATGAAACCAGCTCTCGTTCGCCATCTAGTGGCTTGGGGGCCCCAAGCAACTGCCTGCCCTGCCTGCTGACAAGATGCGCCTCTGCTGACTGTTGTTGGCTCCTAAATACGTTGTTTAATTAGTATAATATTTCCCTTTTTCCAATGAATTGGCTTCAGTCTAGTAGGGCTTTGGCTACAAATAACTAAAAACATAAATGCACAGGGTTTCTATTTTCTAACCATTTTAGTACAATTGGCCAGGGGTGTGCTCAGTTTTGTTGTATACTGTAGTTCCAGGACAAGACGACCCCAGAGACTTGTAAACAGGGACCAGGTTCCGGAACGTCAGCGTGAAAGCACATGTTAATCGCCGAAGAAAACTAGATGATATGTAACTGATCTAGAATAAACAAATTAGTTCAGCCCCTCAATTAAAGAGCACATTGTGTTTCAACTGAAAATCTTGTTTCTACACTCTCGCTTCATAAACTCGATGATATCTTGCTTTGTACGGTTTTGTGTCCTCTTGCCAATTCATTGGACAGAGTCGACTATCAGCTATAACCCCACTGCACTAGAGGAAAACAAAATAAGTGAAATATACACAGGAACTTTGGAATGCAAGGCTTTTGACTTTGAAGAACCTTGGTAAGTTACCAAGTAATATATAAGAAAAATGAATTTAGAGATAAAATAACCTTTGTACTTAAGCTGACTCTGTGTTAGATGTATACTTGTGATGTATTTGCATCACATATATGTTGCTTTGGACAAACTGTAAAAGCAAATATTTGAATATAACTTTATGTTTAAATATTTATTGACAATGGAGCGCAGCACTCTTTCATCATTAGGGGGCGCTAAGTTACACTTCCCATGGTCATTGCGCACTTCATGACACATCCTAGTCGCGACTAGACCAAGATGGCTGCTGCAGTCAAGGTGTCGTCACTCTCCAAAGGATTAAATCCCATTTGGGGAGGGGGATTAAGACATGCGTTCAAAGTAAGCCGTTTTAAATGGAATGTTTTTCCTGCTATCTGTAGTACACGAATGGCAAATTCGTATAATGACAACGCACTGATATGCAAGATTTTTACCCCTGTGTTAATTGTTCATAGGTAATTTCAACATCTACAAACAGTCACAGAGAAAAGTCATCTTACACCGTGAGTATGCGACTGGAAATATGATTCTGGTATGAAAGCAATACCACTGCAAAAAAGTATTTGTACATGTACAATAGGCAATGTGCAATGGTCTTCGGGGGAATGAACCGTGTAAAACGAATACCTAAGCTATCATGAAACCGCAAATAAGGATTTTTTTGTATATGGTTGCAAAAATACTTCCCCCTGCGATCTGTTTTTCTAGAAATAAACGAGCAGAACAAAATCTTGAGTCTTACATTTGAATGAAAGCCTGTAATTATCTAAAGCGTTTGTTCTGAGATATTAACGAAGCACGTTGACGTTAACCAGCTAACCAATGTGGGGGCACGTGAAAGGACAAGCAGATCTGGTGAACCTAATTACACTGAGACACGGGCCTTTTAGCAGGCTTCACTCTGCATCGTCAGATCACTAGCTAACTTTATTTTTGGACTGCATTCAATGCTGAAAAACAATGCGGACAAACAGCATCTCCCGGAAGTTCTTGGGAGTCTCCCTTAAATTGCCAGCGGCACTCTGGCACATGATGCGCAACGTCCCGGAAATCTGCCTTCAGCTGTCATCTGAAGAATTCCGACTAGATTGTACTTAACTTTCCTGGCCTTTACATCTCGGACCGTGGGCCCCGTTCGCAGGTGAAATTGCCTGGCACCCCTCAGAAGCTGCCGCCCTAATGCACTGACTTGTCCTGATGCTAACTGAGATTGCACATCCTAACAGGTTTTTATCATAATAATTTGTGCGGGTAAACTAACCTAATCTGTATTGTATTTGATTGGTAAATTTAAGAAACGAACACTAATTGAGTGAACTAAACGTATTAATTAATAATTAATCAGTTGTTTTGTTGTCAAGGCAAAATGTTAAATCTGAGACTTGAGATTTTTTTATTTATTACATATTTTTATTGTGATATCTTGGTGTGATGCCGTTTTTCTCACTAATGATTATTTTTTATTTCCAACCTTTTTCCATCATCGCTCAGGGACGGATCATTGTAAGTATGCTTTGTCTGGTAGCAACATATCTGTATTACATATTAATAAAAGCTTCTAAGCATATTATTCTGCTAATCAAAAAATATTTTCTAGGTCTCTGCTCTCTTGATATGTATGTTTTCAAATTGGTAAATGCTAAACCATTAGCAAACTTTATAAAGATTGTACAGTGTTTTCTGTAAGAAGTTTAGTGTCTCTTCATTTCAAAATGCACTCACACTTCAAATGCATTTTGATACATATACGCTACATATAAAAGTGTCTTCGTGTGTGTTCCAAAACACATTTCAGAGCTCTGGACTTTATGTGCAATTCATATGCAGAATTTAGGCAAAAATGGTGAAAAGGCAATTTTTTGATTTCAAAATGATTTAAATGGAATGAGCCACTGATTTAACTCTTAACTGGGCCGGTTGGCCAATATGAATAAAAAAGATTGTGGAGCGTTAATATTCACATCGGACTGACGAGAATCATGTTTGGCCTGCGTTCATTTCCTGCCGTCAGCAGATTTTATTGTCAGCCTTTATGTTGCTCATGGAATTTCACCCTTGGGAAAAATAATTGGGGAACCCTGGTTTAGTTGAATAATCTGTGCTATGAACTGGTTGACAAAATGAAGAAATGTGTTTTTGTTCACATTAGGGAAAAAAGCTTACATTTTTCTTTCATAAAAGCTGCCAAAATAATGATGATACAGTACAATACAATAAAATATTGTCTTGGAGGCATTATCTTTAATAGCCTTTTATTTTTCAGCCTCCACCTGCTAAGTATGGTGGCCGACATACTGTTACCCTGATACCGGGGGATGGTATTGGACCCGAGCTGCTCAATCATGTTAGAGAGGTCTTCAGGTAAGTCAACTGGGTGAAACTGTGGTCCTGAATCCTGGTACAGGTGTACGAAAGTGTCCGCTTCTTATGGTCAAAAATTGTGGCTTTGAAACCCATGAAGCTTGGGGTTTTTCAGTAAGCTGGAAAATATTTTACGTTATATGTACATCGCCCCAAAATTGAAACAGCACCACATATTGATAGTCAAAAAAGGGGCAGATCTAACACTTGATTCCATTAAGATAACTCAAAAACTTGTAGCCAGGTGTGCTTTGCAAACAAGTAGCAGTAGCAAGCAGAGAAGGAGAAATGAACCGAGGTCTTACTTAGTCTAACAGCGAGGTACGCTGCCTTCTTGAAATCTGGGCAGATGACGGCATTTGTCATCTCATAAAAGCGACTTATAAAAACTCAAAATGCTTGGACAGTGGCTGAAGGAGAGAGGATTTCACTGTTTGACTGAACAGTGCCATGTGAAAGTAAGGAAAACTGAGGCAGCAATACGTAAAACTGAGAGATGATGAACTGCACAGCCCATTGTTGTTCTGCTTGGATTTTTCTCTGAGTGAAAGCAAACTGAACTGAGGGGGAAATACTACAAACTCAACAACTAATTTGGACCAGAGAAACTGACCTACAAGTGCCTTAAATGTATTTTACATAATTATTTTTCAAAGTATGTAAGCACATTGCAGGGGTGACAAGTTGGAAGTGATCAGATTCTGAGACCGATCCCCCCCACAAAAGGGGTAGTTCCAGACATCGGATCCTGTTAGCGTGATAACTGAAAAAGTGTTTGACGGATCTTTTTCATGTTGTATATTTTAAGATGTGGATCTGTGAAACCTTGAGACAAATAGTTTCAAAATTGGAGCAGCGCTGCACAGTGAGAGCAAAGAGAAGGGCAGCTCAGACATTTGATCTTGTCAGCATGATAATTATAATTCGAAAAGTATTTGTCTGATCTTCAGTATGGATGAGGATTTCCAATTGTTTGTGTCTTGAGACAATTATTACAAAACTTGAAGCTAAAGTGCTGAGTGACAACAAATAAAAAGATTAACAAAATATTAAACTCCAGTCCAACATGACTGCACAGGATAACTATTTTTTCTGTATTTGATCTTTGATTACTATTTCAACATTTATATGGAAAATCTATACCTGGGAATCTTCCAAAAATTCCAAAATTGAAAGTGCAGCGATAGCAGGCCAAAGTGGCTGTAACAGCTGCCATCTTGCAAACACAGCCATCACATCTAAACTTATTCTGAGCATTTTTTGCAGCGTGTTTACCTGTATTTCTCTGTGCATGTTTTAATGTCCATCGCTTAAATTGTCATTTATATTATTCATATTTTTCTGTATTTAAATATATTTATTTATTTCTCATTTGCACTATGACCATTGATCCTGGTGCTCTTCTCAGAAGAAGAGAGAAGACAGAATTCACATGCCAAGTTTAATTAAAATCAATAACTGAGATGCAGTGGTCATTTTGTGAATTAAAATGAAATTACCCTGGTACAAACCTACACAGAATCTGAAGCACTGCACCATATTGTTTGTGGTTGTAGTTGTGCTTGCAGTTTGTGTTTTTAGGAGTGTCTTTTGGCTGACATGTCAGTTGCTTTTTTTTTCTGCTACAGGTTCACCTGTGTGCCAGTGGACTTTGAAGTTGTGAATGTGAACTCCTCACTGAACAGCGAGGATGACATACATAATGCAATCACCGCCATTCGCCGCAATGGTGTTGCTCTCAAGGGTTAGTCTGTGTATGTAGTTATGCTGTTAATGTTTTAGGCTTGTTTGCCCTTGTGAATTAAATCAAGGTCACCTGATGTGTCTTTGCAGGAAACATAGAGACAAACCATATCATGCCCCCTTCACACAAATCCAGGAACAACCTTCTACGGTGAGACTGTAAAATCATTTTGGTGGTCCTTTCTTCTCTGTCTGGTTCATTACTACATTGAGGTCTTGGAGCATGTGAACAGCTCTGTTTCTTGGCCATTGTGATAGTGAATCATGTAATGGAATGATCTCGCGTGAAGAGCAGGAGTCTCACAGAGACAAGCATGGAAATTCGTAGAGCCCATTTCTTGTGACATGGAGAAGTTTTGTTTTCTGACCAACTCAGAACGAGTCTGGACCTGTATGCCAATGTGATGCACTGCCAGTCCCTACCCGGGGTGCAGACCCGTCACAAGAACATTGACATCATCATCATCAGGGAGAACACGGAAGGAGAGTACAGCAGCCTGGAGCATGAGGTGGGAGTGGCCTGTGCATTGTTACTGCGCCTTTCCCCAGTTCTTCTCCAGACCCTACTGACAATGCTCACCACATGCTGGTGATGCCCTACGCAGGTCATTTAAACAAGCTGCCATATTGGGCATATCAGGCTGACCCACATGTTTTTACTTACAGGTGAAGATCCACCTGTTTCTCCTGCATGTAACACTGATTGTTAAGCACATTTTGTTGTTTTGTCCTTCTCTTAACTCCGTTTGACGTATTAGTCGTTAATCATTTAACTGAGGTTTTTAGTAAAGTCAAGCTAGATTTAGATTGACTGTTCATAACAATAAACAAAAAAATAATTAATTGTTCGATTTTGTTTTACTGTCCATTTGCTCGGCGTGAATGTAGCCCGGGTTGCTGGCACGGCGTTAAAAGTCGGTGTAACTAACCTTGCCCCACCACGCTGGCAGAGTGTATCTGGGGTGGTGGAAAGTCTGAAGATCATCACGCGGCTCAACTCCCTTCGCATCGCAGATTACGCCTTCCGCCTGGCCAGAGAAAAAGGCCGTCGCAGGGTCACCGCCGTCCATAAGGCCAACATCATGTGAGTTGGTCCCGCCTTCACTCCTTTCTGTTGACGTACAGTTAGGAAGACCAATGCGCAAGCACACGTTTTCAACCTGGGACTCCATCCAGTCACGTCTCCCTCCTGCATATAGGAAGCTGGGTGACGGCTTATTCCTGCAGTGCTGCAAGGAAGTAGCCTCAGGCTACCCTGATATCACCTTTGACAGCATGATTGTGGACAACACCACTATGCAGGTGCATCGAGACTTTCATTCAGTAGTTTTCTGCAAATCTGTAGCCCCATTTTAAACTCCAGTCCAACATGACTGTTAAACTGAGATAATTATCCCAAATATAGAGATAAGAATCATCACTTAGATGGACACTGAAACTTGCTGGGTTGTTCTCTCCCCGTTTCACAGCTGGTTTCCAAACCCCAGCAGTTTGATGTGATGGTGATGCCCAACCTGTACGGCAACGTGGTCAGCAATGTGTGCGCAGGCCTGGTGGGGGGGCCGGGCCTTGTGCCCGGAGCCAACTACGGGCGAGACTATGCCGTGTTTGAGACGGTAAGAGAAACTGGCACGGGCTGGCATTCCGACCGAGAAAGGAGGATGATGAACAGCTGACAAACGGATCACATGCAGTCATTCCACATACACAGGCAGATTTATTAAGGCTGAGGTGGGACATGGGAAAATGACAGGATGCTGCATTTTTGTATGTGTGTGTGTGTTTTATGTTTTTTTTGTCCCAGGCTACTAGGAACACAGGGAAAAGTATTGCTGATAGGAACATCGCCAACCCCACCGCCATGCTTCTGGCCAGCTGCCTTATGCTCGACCATCTCAAGTGAGTTTCTGCTGGTTGCTCTTCTGGTTTGGAAACTCATGTGTCGTCATCAGAAGTGTTTTTTTTTGGTGGTGTTGCACTGACCTCTCAGATAATTGTTTTGAAGAAACCAGGGTGTTTCAAACTTTTTAACCAAAGATTCACATCAGATTTTTGCTCAAAGTCAGAGATCTGGAACAATTTTCAGTAACAAAACAGCATTTCGTGAACTTTAAAGAATTAACAACTTTCAATGTTACGCATCAACATACAGCAATAATGTGCTTCAAACCATGTTAAGCCATTTTATGTTGATCATATTCATTCATAATGTGCATTATTGAGTCCAGATTAACTTGCAGTTCTGTTCGCATCCAGGTTTGGACCCTAAACTGATGCAGTAGTGATATGTATAAGTGTCTGACATTCATGACACTTTGTTAGCCAATCAGGTTGAAGGGATTTATTTTACACATGTAAAATGCAAAGGGGGTGCACTATGTATACCTTATAAGGAGATGTTGTGTGGATGCTGATTTTTTTTTTTTCTTTTTTCTTTCTTGTATCCTTCTTTTTTTCTACAGACTTCATGAATATGCCACGTTAATTCGAAATGCAATCCTCACCACCATGAACGAGACGAGGGTACGGCATGCCTTATGCTGAACTCCAGCCTCTCACATCCCCGTCACAACATGTCTTGACTATACAGTTATGCATTCTCCTCATGGGTCATAGATGTCAGAAATCACTGCAGCGCTGTTGGTCATGTTGTATCTGAGTGTGTTACATTTTTTTTTAATCATGTTGCGCTCCTCTGTTTTTCTCCTCCTCAGCTGCACACGGCGGACATTGGAGGACAGGGCACAACATCTGAAGTTGTCCAGTCCATTATGAACATCATCCAGAGTAGTGGACCACGCACTACAGCTCAGTACTGAATTCCCTGTGAATGAACGCCCTGTGCTTAGGTATCCAGATGTTTTTGTGTCTCTCCAAACTTTTGAGTTTTGCTAAAAATATTACTCTGTGACCTGGATCATCTTCTCTTAATATGTTTTAGAAATGTTTCTTGCATCAGGAGCAGAAAAGTATCCTTTCTGAAATGTGTGCTATGCCAGGAGTAGAGATTGGGATCTTTTCAGTCTCACATACAGAGGCCCTGAGATGTGCATCAATGAAGCCACAACTCTTCTGCTTTTGAGAAGTTTCTTTGTGTTCCTGGGGCAGCAAAGGAAGCTGTAGATGAAAATTTGTACCGACAAAGTTGTGTCTTTGTCAGGCGATGTGCTATTTGTGACTTCATTGAATTCTATTCTAGATGACTGTTTTTCCTTTTTGTTTTCTTGAACGGGTCCAGTGTGATCATAAAGATGAGCAAGATGCCACAATCAAACACATTATCTCTATTGTCAGTCCCTGGAATGTTGTACTACTTTCACTTATGGGAGAGTAACATTTGCATGTATGACTTCACCAATTGAATTAAACTTCTCCATCTTTTGGCTTGTATACCTGTGTTTTGTTGGGAAATTATTTTTTTTTAAGTGGGATACAGCTCTGGAAAAAATTAAGACCACAGCATCATTTTTAGTTTCACTTATTTCTCAGTTTATTGGAATACATCTGTGTAAAATATACATTTTTACTCCAGCCTGGCTCTTCCCTGCTTCTCATTGATGAAGGGCTTCTTCCTGGCTTTATGGGTCTTTGAGGGCTTCTGGAGTCCTCATAGTCCTAACTGTCTTAGCAGTGCATTTCACACCACTTAATGTTTCCCATTCTTTCTGAAGGGCAGTTGATGTCATCTTCTGATTCATGAGGCACTGCTGGATAAGTTGGTCATCTCTACCATTAGATCTTCTCCTTTCTATCTGGCTGTTTTTGGTCACTGCCAGTGTCTCCTGCTTTACTTCTTTCTTGTGTATTGCAGCCTTAGAAGTAACCTGCCTCAGTGTAGCTTTCTGCTAGCAGAAGCTGAAGATCAATAGAATGTTCAGATTTTTTGTACTAGAAAATGCATTGAGTGCCATTTTGCATGAGGTGACATTTATAGATGGCACCATGAATGTATATTCAATAAAAAGATGATTCCTAGTCCCAAGAAGCTTGGCAGAAGAATTTTTCAACATAACAATCCAAAACACACTGCAAAAAACTACACAAAAGTGAAAACTTTGAACTGGCCAAGTATGTCTATTGACTTGAATCACATAGAACACCTTTGTGGTATTTTAAAGAGGAAGGTGGAGTGACAGAACACCTCCAGTGAAGCTGAAAAGAATCATCTGTGAGGATCGGCAGACAGTCTCCACAAATTAAATTAAATCAGGCGTAGAATGTCATCCATATAATGTTTTTATCAAGCATCAATAAGATCCATCAAACTCGTTTTGACATCGCATTCAAGTCAAATGTCTGCTTTCACCCTTCACTGCCACTACCAGTGTTTTCAATGAAAATGATTCATCACACAGTGACAGACCAGTCCTAAAACCATGTGTACAGTGACAATCAAACAGAGAACAAGTGACATTTTTGTAATTTACGAAGTTACTGTCTGTCCAAATTCGAAACTATTCTCCAATTAATAGAAGAGATACACTTTAATCATATTTCATCAGTTAAAATTATCCCACATCATAAAATAAGTTAAAACAAGAAATTTGAAGGTCTGCGATCAAAATTGGAGAATGAGAATTATTTTGTCACATATTTTTTATTTTAATCTGACATATCTGGCAACCCCAAACTATTAGGCATCATTGGTGGGCATTTTTCAGCATGTTGGGCCTCTTGGTGACTGAAATCGTGACATGTTCAGATGAAGGCTTATAGGACGACCCTCTTAGCCGTGGGAAGAGAAGTCATTCTAAGAGCTTCATTTCTCAAATATTCAAGATGTGCAAAGACACTAAGTGAATCAAATCCCCAAAAAATGCAAGTGTATCTTAAATGCATGTGAGATGATCGTGTGAGAGAACAAGATGATCGGCGGCTCCGGCTTCTTCAGATATGGCAAAGAAACCCTTTAGTTACTGAACTGTGGCAGAAACTGGAAGACGAGTAGAACAAAATCAAGGAAATATGTTAGGAGACAACAGAAAACACTCATGGTTTGTTTACAAAAATTTAATCCAAACCAAATTACAAAGCACAGTCCCCCCCATTCCCATTAATCAATGCTATGATGTCAGAATGTATGCACCTTGCAAAGCTGGAGCAAAATGAGTTCCACTGATAGCAGGTTTTCTGATAAAATTAAGTACAACATGAGTCAGTATCATTGGCCAAGATGTAATAATCCAGTATATATTACTGAGCATTTTGTTGACATCGGTACAGTAGGTGTGCAGCATACAAATTATGCTTGGATGGCACTTTTTGCAGTGAAGGCCAAGTAGTAGACCAGGATACCAATAACAGCAGCCACAACCTCAGTGGAGACCCAGGGACCACTCCATGCTCCCTGCAGAAGAAAGACTATCAGCTACCCCACCTTTATAGGACATACAGGAAGCTAGATTTGGTGGTGTAGGAAATGACAGCGTTGTATTCCCCGAACAGTCCTGTCATTTAGTCCGCCCATCTAATCTGTACTCGTCCCACACTCACCGATCTATACGATTTCTAAAAGTACAGTGTAGTAGCTCTGAAGCGGTTTAGGTTCTGACAATAAATATTTTAAATTTATTTCATTGTCGGTACCGAACCCAAAATGATGTACTATAATGGTATATAATGAATACAGGTGGCACTGCAGCCTTAAAAAGGACTGGTGAAGCCATTATAAAAAGATTAGATGAACAGTATCAGTGCACAAGTTGCTTCCTGCCATGGCAAATAAACTGCATTTTCCATTATATATAAAAAAAAATGTACCCAATTTTTACTCAAAATTACCGGCCTGTGACCGCTTATGATGAACCCAACCCTCTTACCCTGTGGTCCACGTTGACAGAGAAGAGTGGCTTGATGGAGTCTACATCTTCATTGTTCCTCTGTGCCTGAGACAGACGAAAGGCCAAAGATCTTACTCAGTCACAGAAAAAAAGCCTCCGCACCGATAGGCATCTCACACTCGCCAAAAAGTCTCTTACCTTGCGTAGTGCACTGTATGACTCCTCATCAAAGAACTTCACTTGGTACGTCCCAGAGGAAACCTGCTTGTGGGGGACACTCCAAGATACCTGAAGAATTTGTGGGGAGGAAGGGGTCATTTTTTTTTTTTTGCCCATCCACTTCACACATTAACAGAATATACACAAACAAGAAAGAATCAAACCTGATACTTTCCAACATCTTGCCCTCTGGTTACAGGAAACTGCTTTCCACTGATATCAGCATATAGCACCACACTCTGTTTAGGAATTAAATCAGTCACTTTAAAGAATCATTAATACAAATATGTTTCATAACATCTAGGCTGCAAATTTCAAACAATTGGTGAATCTGTATAACAGAATAGCCCGATCATTTTGATTATGCATAAAACCTTTTTCACAAACAGAATAGATACCAGCCAGAGAAATTGAAATGTTAAAGTATTTTACCTGGGCTCCATTGGCACAGGCCAAACTGAGCTCCACAATAAACACGGATTCTGAGGCGATGACAGCATCCGTAGTTGTATAGGAGGAAGGTGTGATGATTGGGTCTGTACAACTTTCAGCTGGGGAAAAATGGACCACAATTGAATATACCGATTAATTTGTGGCCATCAGTTCTATTTTGCACAGGAGAAATCTCACTTAAGACATTTGTAATGTGTGGCTCCCTAATGGTGGACTGAGCTGCCAAATCAGATGCAGTCATGAGATTCACTCTCCATTCACGTTCAAGAGGCGCCTCAAAATCCACCAATTACAGCAACGCTAGAAGGATTCTGACATGTAGATTATTACATTATGACACGATGTCAACACTATGGTGAATTCTGACGGACATTGATCAAACTAAAAATTATCCATGGGCATGTTTTTCATGTACAAGTACCATACGAAAGACAAACATAAAAATTACATATCAAGATAAAAACCGAACTAAAAATGTTGCGTGGAAAAATTAACAGTATCAACATAGTGCACATAAACCAGGTAAAATAAGTGGCAGTGTAAGTACTGAAATATTAGATAAAAAAGGTAAATAAATACAATACAAAAGGCAAACCAATAACAAAATAAAATTAAACCGATTCTATGGAATGGAATTGCCGGGTTGAAAAAATCTACTAAGGGGGTAAAAAGCCACGCAATCGGCAAGATATTCTTATTGGCATACTGAAGCATTATAAACAGGACTACCTATTGGCATACTGAAGCATTATAAACAGGACTACCTATTGGCATACTGAAGCATTACAAACAGGACTACCTATTGACATACTGAAGCATTACAAACAGGACTACCTATTGACATACTGAAGCATTATAAACAGGACTACCTATTGGCATACTGAAGCATTATAAACAGGACTACCTATTGGCATACTGAAGCATTACAAACAGGACTACCTATTGACATACTGAAGCATTATAAACAGGACTACCTATTGACATACTCCAAAGTGAATCAAAAGAAGCCATACCAAGTAGCCCACTAAGCAGGGACGTTAATTGTTCATTTAGCCCGTTTCAATCAGAAGGGCTGCACACAGGGCTCCAGTGTGGATTTTGGACCCCGCAAAAGCACATGGGACGAAGTGGTGGCTCTGAAGCTGTGGCCCTGTGCCAGTAACTGGAAGGTTGCTGGTTCAAATCCCATGAATGCCCAGAATGATTCTACTCCGTTGGGCCCTTGAGTAAGGCCCTTAACCTGCAATTGCTTTGTCCTGGTTATGACATTATTCTACATCCAGCCCGATAAGGAGGTCCTGCAACTTACAGGGAAAAACTTGGGGGTTGGTGGCACGTTTCTCCAGCCACCGGAAAAAAACCTCGGACTAGTGTGGTGCTGAGGTATCACCTGCCACATGGCTGCACTCAGGTTCTCATCCCTGAGGTGGTTTGTCGTGTGGTGGGTGCAGCAACACACTGTAATCAGTGCATGCTCCTTACCTCCTACAAGCACATCATATTTCACCACCAACCCAGACCGATCAAATTATATTCCAAATTGTTGTTCCCTGTCACTCAGGAGCCATTGGAATCACCCTAACCGTCGACCGCCCTCCCATCTTTACTGCGCCGTTACTTCACTTAAACCTGATCGAAGCGGGTTAGGCATGCAGCATAAATTACCAGGACCATATGCCGTTTGGAAGTGAGCTACGTAATATCCAAAACTCGGAAGTAAGCCTATAACAGAACTCGATCCATCACGTAATGCCAGCGATGCAATTATACATAATCAGATGCTACGAGTAAGACTTACTCCGAATGAAGAACCACAAATATTACAAAGCATGCAATCGCTAAAAAAGTTAAGACAATATTCTGTTTCACCCATATGGGGAGTACTATTCCCAAAACAACCTGAGATAACTTGTAACGTAAATATTAGACACCAACTACTACTTAATTAAACGGGGAAAAAACTGATAACATGATTAAATCCCTGTTAAACCCATTAAAGGTACCTGAGCATAAACAGGCGACGACAGCCAAAAAAGCGGCAATCCGAATCATTTTCTTCTTTTTTCTTAGACCGAAACCTACACGTTCAGTCAGATCACACGTTCAACCCAAACGAAAAGCCAGCTCAGCTATAGCGCGCTAAGACTTCTGGGATTGACGTGACCGATGAAGACGTCATTCGCGTGCGCAGGACGCACAGTCTGAGTCGCGTTATTTTTTCCTGCCCCAGGTCCCCGTCAGAGATGGAGAATAAAGATTAGCTCTGTATTAATGCTGTTTTATGTTTAGCTAAGTTTTTTTATACATAAATATGAATAGAATTTTAAAAATGTCCCCCCCAACTTTGTTTCCTTTAGAAACGAATTCAATATGTACTTACAATCCCTAAACTTTATTTAACACAGCTCGTCTCCTTGGCTTCCTGGGAATTCTTTACAATGCTCTTATTCCTGAGAATGAGAGAGGAGTGGTGTGGTGAGACCCGATTTGCCACATTATGTAGTAATTTGGCACTATGTCAGTTTTCACCACTGCAGTCTCGTCATAGAATGGTTTACTGCCTATGATCGCATGTCAGTGTTTCTTACCACCTTACTCCCCCTTCCTCAACCTAATAGAGGAATTCTTCTCAGTGTGGAGGTGGCATGTATATGACCATCGGTCCTATGACCAGGTGTCTCTACTGGGGGAAATGGGTGCTGCTTGTGAGGACTTTACTGTGGAAGCATGCTGAGGGTGGATGAAGCATTGAAGAAGGTTCTTCCCCCTCTGTCTTGGAAGACAAGACATCAGATGTGATGTTGATGAAGTGTTGTGGTCAAACAGAGAAGACAGACTGGATGCTGAGCTGGCTTGAAATGTTAGTTCTGTAATGTATTTCATAATGGCAATTTTTAAAAATACTTGTTTCATGTCCTTGAAATTTGTGTTTGAATTTTATTTTTTGCAAATATCTGTTTGTATTCTACAATGACTGACTAGAAAAAAAATGGTGTGCCTGGTTTTGGTTCAAGCACATTTAATTTTTTTGCACATTACATTTTTTTGTGTAGTTATGCCTTGGTCAAGTGTGCATTAAGGGAGCAATACTTTACGTATGACTCATTTTGTGTCTTGGTACATGTTATCAGTGTTGTGGCATGTTTTGGTTCTTTTGCAAATGTGATATAGTGTTGTGATAACCGTCTTTACAGCCTTGGGAAATGCACTTAGAGTTTTGAGAAAGACGTTAAGATTTTGGGAAATGCGTCTTAGCAATGGAGGAGAACTGCAACAGAAAAAAATTATGCCAAAACCAAGAATATTATAATTTGCGTACCTACCCTGTACTCGTATACAAGTGGTTTTAATAGTTAATAAGCAAATATTAATCAAAATCTCACCAATAAACCAGCAACATCTAGTACAATTACATTTAAATGAGCGCTAATAACAGGAATGTTAATTAGTAATACATATTAAAAGAGTATCCGTAAATCTAATTTGTTACCATAGCTGGTTTTAAAAATGTTTTATACACGGTGATTATTTCATACTTCCCAAACAAAACTTTATTATAAAAAGTCCTTATCTGGCGAAAATGTTTTAAACACGATATATGGTGTATTAAAACAATGTGCATAGAACTTGATAAATGAAGTCGTTTACTGGTAAAATGCTTTAGAAATTTAAGATTGCAGTATATGTAACACAGGTAGTCTATACTCCTTAGGTAATGTGTAATTAACACGGCAAAGTATAACTATTGTAAGTGAATAACTATATACGGAAATAAATACACACTCTTAACTTACGTACTACATAATGTATACGTCCGCGTTGGAAGCGTCATCTTGCTATAAACCAATAAATTTAGATAAGGGCGTGTCAGATTCAGCAGGGGCGTGTTTGGTGACCTTCAGCCTGGGGAATGGGGCAAAGCGGCACATAGTCCAGCCCCGCGCACACTGCTATTCATTTCAGGGCGGGATTAAACGAAACCGATGTAGCGAGAGCGAGCCAGTGCCAAGTCCAACCCATTTTATTACAGAATATTTCGAATTAAAGGAGTTATAGCTAATGTAGATGATCAAACGAATTGTATTATTCATTATAACACATAAAGAAACCTTTTGAAGAAACCATAATGTCACGTTGTCTTCAAAAACGAGATATCTGGATTTCCGACTTGTCTACATGATTCATACTCGATAATAATCGATACATAATCGATCTCTGTACATGGGACATATCGGATGAGAACAGGTCTAGTCCCTGGAACAGAAGCAGGGATGTAGCGAGGTAGCACCTGGGGCAGGTTAGTTTGCTTGTCTGCACTATTATCCGTATAAGTAAAAGCAATAATAAAAAGGCTTAGGTCAATTTTAAATTAAAACGCACCCATATGTTCCACATGAAAATTGTTAGCCTTACAACATTTAATTTAGCATTGTCAGTCTAATATTAATGTTGTAATTCCTTAAGTTTGGTAATTTTTTTTGGCTTACCGCTTTAAATTGTAGAGAGATTTAGACTTCAGGTTGGGGCTGGTTGTGTTTAATGCTTAGTGTCATGTACACTATACTCATTCGCCATGTTACTCCCTGGTTTCATTTTGTCCCCGCTGAGAAAAGACTACACGAAGCAGGCAGTGTCCTGTAGCTGCGCGTCCTCGTTGAGAAGCTGACCGGGTCGTCTACGTCTCGTGGTCTGGATACACGTGTAGCCCCGCCTCCTCCGTTTTGCAGTCTCCACTGTGGAGCCGGAAATCACGTGAAATCTACATCTGGCCCGGAAATAACGCTTCTAAAGAGGACTCGGTAGGCTGAACGCGTGGATAGTGTGTTTATCAGCAAACAGTGGAAGAATTGTATCTGTGATCGTCGACAGAAAAAGTGAGTGAAAGAAAAACAACAAACAGCAAATATCACGGTTATAAAATATGCATAATTTACAAAATTATCGTTACTCAGGAAAACGCTTTTTATGTCGTCTTTTAAAGATGTTATCTGAACGTTCTGCACCTATCTTGCACGTCCACAAATTTAATAGTCAAACGCTTATATTTTGAACTGCATGTTTTAGACAGACGTCCAAATACTGAATCTCAATTACACGTCGTGCAGACATACACATATGGTCCTGGAGAACCTGAGATAAAAGGCAGCAAATAAGTGAACAAGTACCATACGAAAGGCAAACATAAAAATTACATATCAAGATAAAAACCGAACTAAAAACGTTGCGTGGAAAAATAAACAGTATCGACGTAGTGCACATAAACCAGATAAAATAAGTGGCAGTGTAACCAAGTACTGAAATATTAAAAAAAAATGTAAATAAATACAATACAAAAGGCAAACCAATAATTTTTCTTTAAACTCCTTTTTCTTTTTAGATGGACATGTCAATTTGTGATGCTGATTCACAACTTGCACTGGAAAAATGCAACACTTGTTGCAGAAATCTTTTTCATTGTCCTCTTTGCCCAACATTCAAGCCAGCAAGGAAGGCTAAGATTGAGAAACATATACATTCCCATATGAAAAATGCTATTCGTTTCAAAGGTATGAACATACCATTACCAGTACAGTAATTTCCCCAGTCCTTTTAAATGGCAAATATTTTTATTATACAAGTAACCGC